AATTTTTTGGGAATAATCTGTATAAACTATGCTATAAACAAAAAATTGTAGGATTACTTACCGAGTGTGCACCATTCGACGTCGCCATTGCTTAAGCTTGTTTTCGTCGCGGAGCAGCGCATCAAATGGCAGCCGCGATTTCTGATGTTATTTTTCTACGAAAACTTCGTTGAACTTTGGAGACATAATTAATGTAAATAAATTTTATGGCCGTTGAATAAGAAATGATTCTTTCACAAGAAATGTATAAAATTAGTGCTGTATTAGACTTACGGTACCTAATTTACATACTGTACAGATGATAGTAAACTCAACTTACTTGCCTAAACTCTCCGTAGCATGGCGCTGGACGGCAGAAAGTAGTTCGGCCACCTGATGACATTTTACCGAATTATAGGAGTTTTTTTTACCATCATATAGGAATCCGAACTATAAGAACCCGTGTTATAGGGGAGTCGACCGTATTTATAACAAATTGGCTTATTATAGCTAAATAAACTTATTATGGTGATAATTTTTTATTTCATTTATAGCATATTCATGAAATAATATCAGAAAATAAATAAATCAAGAAAAAAAAGCACTAATTAAAATTTTTTAAGTCAACAAAACGCCACCTGGAGAAAAATATGTAAAACAGATGATAAACAAGACAGTGCCATCAAGTGCTGACATCTGTTGTCGATAAATGTTATAAAAATTGATATTTACTAGGGTAACGACGAATCGTTACCCTCATAGTTTGGCTTAACAATAGGAGGTAACTACTGATTGATACTTTCAGAAGCAAAGGGTTAATGCCTTTTTATGTGAATTTTTCTCTTAAATCAGTAAAATTGTTGGGATGACATCCACTCTATGTATTTAAATTAGTTATGCAAAAAATTTGAAAATAATATCACTTTCTAGAGAAAATACTGGTACAAATAAGTATCACCTCTAAGTCTTTATTCAAACTGTACCAGAAATCTAAAGGTTTAGAGTTGATACTTTGAAAATAATAACGATCATATTAAGGATTTACAAATGTAGTTAGTCGATTTGGCATGTGAACAGCTCATATAAGGATGGACTTACAAAATATAAGAGCATTTATACAGGGATTGGACAAAAATATGGAAACACCAAAAAACCTAACCTATTACTAAGCCCTAATACAGTGTAGGAAAGCCGTTGGCAGTCTTCTCGGAATTGATAAATACAGGTCCTGTATGGTTTTAAGGGAAACTTGTACCATTCCTCCTGCAAAATAGTGGCAAGTTCAGGTAACGATGATGGAGTTGGATAGTGATCACGCACCTGTCTCCATAGTAGACTACAAAGGCTCAATAGTATTGATGTCTAGTGACTGTGTGGCCAAAGGAGATGCGCCAAATCACTCTCATGCTGACAAAACCAGTCTTGGACTGTGTGAACAGGTGCCCTGTTGTCTTGGAACACAGCATTACCATTGGGGAGCAAACATTGCACCATGGGATGGGCACAATTGCCCAAAATGGTTACATAATCTTTGGCAGTAATATGACCTTGCAGAGTAATCATGGGACCCATGGAATACCATGATATATCTCCTCAAATCATCACCAAACCCCCACCATGTTTCACTCTTGGCAACAAGCAGTCTGCATTGTAGGCTTGGGACGGTGTTTGCCAGATGTAAACTTGGCCACAGGTTGGAAACAGTGTAAAACAAGGCTCATCCGACCAAATGACTCTTTTCCATTGCTCCATTGTCCAGGTTTTATGGCTTCGGCACCACATTTTCCTCTTATGTGCATTTGCATCACTGATTAATAATTTTGGAATTGCAACTTGCCCTGAAATTCCCTGCTTATGGAGCTCCCTTCGAACTGTTTTGGCACTGACAGGGTTTGTGAGCTCCATATTCAGTTCGGCAGTGACTTTTTCAGCTGTAGTCTTCTTATTTTTTGTCACAATCCTCTTCAATGACAGTCTGTCATGATCACTCAATTACACACTTTTATCCATGTTGTGACTTAGCAGATAATGTTTTTCCGCTTGTTCTGTATGCAGTATAAATCTTTGATATGGTGCCTCTTGACACACCAAACACTTCAGCCACCTTGGTTACGGAAGCATCCACCATAAGAGCACCAACAATTTGCCCACATTCGAATTCACTTAGCTCTGACATTGTGCACTCCCACCTACACAGAACACAGTTCTAACAATGACTGACATATGCAACGTATTGAGAGATTGCACAGGTGTTGTTAGTAGTCAAATACAACAGCACAACCTAGAGGCTTGGCTAGAATCAACATTTACATTCAACTATGCATTTCATGAGGAGTTTCCATATTTTTGTCCGACCCCTGTACCTTATCTGCAATAATGACTTTGTACATATATGGTCATAAATATAATGAAACTTTTTCTTTCAATGATTATTGTCTGCAAGAAATAGCTGACATACTTTCTACATATGTTTTTACAGGATAATATCTAATATTGTTGGTTTGATTTTGGTCTAAAGTGAGTAATCAATCCACTTTATACTCTTATGCATCTGCAATACAGTATGGCCTTAAGTACTGTACATACAATACTGTATATCATTGACCAAGCCAAAATTGGGGCCATTTATAATCATTTCTAAATATTTGATGATTACATCTTGATCTTATTGGTAGATGATTTTCTTTATTAATTTAATGCCTCACTTAGGTAATGTAAATATTCAATTGTTAAATAATCCACATAAATATGTAAATCTTGAATCTGTTCAGTATAGTACATATTTTTATTGTGTACTGTATATTTTAGTGTAAATTTGATATTCTTTAGATAATTTTTACAATAAAAAATTCAAATGACATCAAACTTGTTAAGATAAGGGTTCTGATTGATGTAAAAATGTGCATTGATTTATTTATTTGTTGAATGTAATTAATATAATCATTTCATGAAAAGTCAATGACTTCTAACATATTTAATGCATGTAATACATACAATAAATATTTTGACAAATATATTACAGGATGATCGTTATTTTTTAAGCGGGTCCTTGGATGGAAAACTGAGACTATGGAATATACCAGATAAGAAAGTTGCTCTGTGGAACGAGCTTGATGGGCAGACAAAGCTTATTACAACGGTCAGTTTTTGTCAAAATGGCAAATTTGCCGTAATAGGTTCTTATGATGGACGATGTATTTTCTATTATACCGAAGTAAGACAAAAATTATTTGTTTTCTTAAACTCTTCATCTTGTATTAAAAATTGTTATTAATAAAAATAAATTTTTTTTACAGCAATTAAAATATTACACACAAATCCACGTACGTTCCACTAGAGGAAAAAATGCACAGGGTCGAAAAATTAGTGGAATCGAACCCATGCCAGGAGAAGACAAGGTAAAAATCTGAGAAATTTTATAAAGTATTATTGCTAATTTTAAATGTATGCAAATGTTTTTTATTTATTAGATTCTAGTCACTTCTAATGATTCTCGTATCAGATTGTACGACCTGTGTGGTCTCACTCTGTCTTGTAAATATAAAGGTTACGTCAATGTTAGCAGTCAAATCAGAGCAAGTTTTAGGTAATTTAAAGAATAATTTAGAGTTATTAGCCATTTATTCACCTGATACAATAATGTAAAACAAAATTTATTTCAGTCATGATGGTAAATATGTCATAAGTGGTTCTGAAAATCAATTTATATACATCTGGAAAACTCATCATGATTATTCAAAGTTTTCCTCAGCCAGGAGAGATCGTAATGATTACTGGGAAGGAATTAAAGGTAAACGAAAGTATTTTTTCAACATTTGAAACTTCGTTATTAACACAAATTTCTATTTCAGCTCACAATGCAGTAGTAACGACTGCCGTTTTTGCTCCGCATCCTCATCTGATTTCTTGTCAGTTGGACCAAAACGAACAGCACTGTAGTACAACCGATGGCTGTTATGTAATTGCCAGTGCAGATTTCAGTGGTGCTATTAAAATATTTATAAATAAACCAAAGACAAAGTCTTCTGGTGCAACGGAAATGCCTGCATCCTAGTCTATTAGTAATAATATCCAAACATTCTGTACAGATATGTGTATTAATTAATAATGCAATTCAAGCTAAAAAATTCTGTAAATTTAAATAATTTTGAATGTTAAATTATGGCATTGTGAAAAATTTATGTAAATATATTGCATATTTAGTACATACTGCAGCTTTTTATATACATTGCTGAACAAAAATATAACTGGGCTGGTTTTTGTTAATAAAAAGAATTCTAGTTAACGTCTTACTGTCTTTGGATTAACAGTATTTATTATATAATATTTTAGAGATGATGTTTCACAATTGGCAAAAAAAAATTTTTTTTTACAGTATTTACAATTGCTATCTTTGTAAGTATTATGAATGGAATGAATTTGGAATTACAAAAATTGTATTTATGTATATACAAATGTTATAAGATTACATATCATTACATTACCCTTGTACTAAACATAGGAGAATTTTTTATGAAGTCATCTAAACGTTCGCAGAATAATTCACTTGTAATGGGTTGACCAAACTGCGATTCTGGATTTTTTATTACATATTCAACATAAATCTGCAGGAAAAAAAATTTAGTTAAAAACAATTATTCATTTCATTTTTTTTTAAACCATAGATTACCTGACGATATAACTCGTGCAGTAATTCTCGAACATTTCCCGCGGCAACGTCGGTGTTCAATACAAATTTCAATCCGGAAGGTGTTTCATAAAAGTTTAATTTATACTTGCTTGTACGAAAATTCAAGAAACCATCTTTACTAAACAAAAAATGAGATATTGTAAGATTAATATGTAAAATAAAATGTTAATTATTATTACTGTATTGTTGTATTTTATTGTACAGTACATTTATATATAAGTCTAATATTTCTGATTAGATTATATAATGCAAAACAATTATTTTTAATATTTACCAATCATTTGGTGATATTTTAGCAACAAAAGACTTGATAGAAAAGATCATACCATACATCAATTTGAATTCCTATATTATAAATAAGCAAAAATTGGTTGTTATTGTAATCGTTTAAAAAATTTTAATTCAAATTCTGCATCAATAACACTTACTTCATCTCTTGCCATACCAAACTGCCTTTTTCTATTCCATTCGCGATAAAAAATGCACATACCATTTTTATCAAATATATAAAGATTATAAATAGTCATCTGGATCTAGTAAAACATTCAAAAGTAATTTTATTCATCTTACAATAGTTTGCATTTTTATTAAAACTATGAACTGATTAACTACATTTCTTTTATCTAACTGAATATTTTCTAATCGCTATAAACCAAAAATGTTGCCAAATTGTAGGGGGTTTAGATTTAAAAAAAATAGATTTGAACCAAAATACAGGGCATTTGATTCACTTAGTTGAATAGCTAATAATGTTTTCATCTTTGTACTTTAGTGATTATAATTTTATTATCATACAGTATAAATGTTGTATAATTATTAAAATTGTACAACATTTATATGTTTAAAATAAACTTGGTTAAGTGTTTAAGAAGAGTCATCATATAAAAACATAATATATCTAAAAGAAAATAATAGAGAGGTATTTTCATATCATATCTTGGGATGGGGTAAAGATTAACAAACAAAATTTGGCCTAGTAGCTTGTGTATAAGGGGCATTAATGCTATCATCCATTTCCCAAAGATATTTTGTGAAATATTATTTTTAAGAAATTATGATTAACCTCAAAAACATACTTTATGAAAATTTTACTTCTTTTAAAAATACTTGTAAATGTATAACTTTAAATTAATCACAAAAATTTTAATGTAATACAGAAAAAACATTAGAATCCATCTTTTTAACTCATTTTATTGTTATGCAGGGGTGGAAATCTTTTGTCTGAATCAGACTTTTTCTAATATAGATAAAATAAATTTTGATGGTGAAAGGTCAAAGGAGTGGGGAAATAGGGGTCAGACTTACTGAAGATGTTATTTGCTATTAACATTTAAAATTTTTAATAATAATAATAATAATATAAAGAGGCAAAGTTTGTAAGTTTGGTTGTCTCCAAAACTACTCATCCGATTTCAAAAATTATTTCACCAATATTTAGAATGGACCTTCAGAGTGGACATAGGCTGTATATTATTCCATTAAATATTCATATAAATTAAAAGATATCATCTAGGTAAGCATTATATTTATATTTTTGGTGGTGAGGGGCAAGAAGCATACGTATATGAGATAAGTAACTGCACGGCACAGTTGCGTGGTCGGCGAGATATGCAGTGCACGTGTCCGAACTTGTAGTATATAAAGTTGACACTGGGAACGCATGCACACAAGTTTGCTTTATTCGAACTCTTAGTCTTAATGTTCATTTTATGTTCAAATTTATATTTATGAATGATTTGAGAAGATCAAACTTATTTTTTGAATTTAGTAAACTAGAAGAACCCAGAAAGGATTACCAAAATGTTTGTTATTTATCACTTAGTGGTACTATGCACTAGTTAGTGGTTGCTGTGAATCTTAATTATCGTTATCCCAGTGTGGTAAGCAGATATCTAAAAATTTTCTAATTAGTCTCGAAAGAGGGGGGGGACCTAATTCTTGCACTCGGTGAAAACAGGTAAGATCGGCTATAATCTAATGATCTTAATCTGTTATTTTCGTTTGAGCAATGCTGGGCTCACCTGCTAGTTTTTAATAAAACTCATCTCTACCCACAGAATTAAGCTTTTTTGCCATTCAATTATAATTAAAAATAAAAAAGTTTTTTAAAATAAAATGTCATAACAGCTTTTACACAACTCACTGCTAAATTTTTTCTGTTTTGTCAAAGAAGGTCTTTTAATCTCTAACATTTTCAGCCATATTTAAGTGATTAATGCAATTTTTAGGGTATTTTTGGAATGTTTTACTATTTAAACTATAATTCTAAAAGTTAGCTGTTGATATTGTCTCAGCTAATACACTAATTTCATAAACTTTCATTAATGTATATTTATGTAAAATCAGAAATTTTTAAAAATAAAATTACATACTATACAGGTAGAAACTTTTCAATGGTATTGCAAATTAATACAATTCAAATAACTTAATTTCAAAATAACCAGAAATAAACTGGATAATAAACAATTCTTAATTCACATAATTTGTCAAATTAGCATCTACAAAATAACATCCAAGAAACCGAACAGTTTCATGGGCTGTAAAAGTGATACTGATAAAGAAATGGGTACAAATTCAGCTCCGAATGAGGCAGTCGGGACATTATTAGAGCTGTAGACCATGCCCAAAGGAGCAAAAAATGCCAAAGAAACCAATGGTCTACACATGACCATTCGTGAAATAAAGCCCACCAAAACCAGCTATTTGGAATTTTTAAGACCCTCAAAAATGGGTAAAATTTAAAAGTGAAAAAATCCAGAACTATTTCTTAAAACAATGCTAAAAGTCAACTGTTTTCCACTTTACTCAAGATGACTAAAATCTCATAAAATGTGAAAAGTGCCATTGCACCAACTACTGAAACATTATTGGAATCTTGTGCTCCATTAACCAAGTTACTTGTTAAACATATATTCTCATTCGAGGCAAATATGCCATCAAGGGTCACAATTACAGACATAGTTCATTTGACATTTTGGTCGTCTAGGGCAGTGTTCCGCAACCAATGTGCTGTCACAAGCTGAAAGGTGTGATGTGAACTTTTACATATTCTATTAATTTCAGGCTTCATTTATATATTTTTATCACAGTTGTTATGTTTCTTATGCTTCTATTTCATTCACTGATGAAATAAGATGATGTTAAAGCAATAAACACATATGTCGTCCCAGTACTCACTTATTCTTTTGGAGTTATACATTGGACTCACACAGATCTTGAGCAACTCCAAATTAAAACAACAACAACACTAAACGTGAACATCATCATCCTAAATCTGCCATAGAAAGATTAACCCTTCCACCTAAAGATGGCAGACGTGGCCTGATCGACATAGTTAACCTACACTACAAACAAATACAGACATTGCGAGAGTTTTTCTACAAAAAACAAGAAACATCAAAGTTACATAAAGCAGTAATTCTAGCAGACTCAAATAATACATTATTAAATTTACGTTCACAATGTATGGACACAACACAACATATAAACAGCATAGACACCATTAAGCAATCATGGGTGTGAAAGGTACTGCATGGCAGACATCCCTATGACCTGGCCCAGGATTTTGTTGACAAAACTGCATCAAACAGCTGGTTAGTGGAGAAGCCCCTTTGGGGAGACGGAAGGATTTATAATTGCCATACAGGATCAGGACATAAATACTAAAAACTACAGAAAACACATACTCAAAGATACAACAATCACAAATGACACATGCAGAAAATGTCACATCATGCCAGAAACTATACAACACATCACTTCTGGTTGCAAGCTCTTGGCACAGACAGATAATTTACATAGACATAATCAAGTAGCAAATACATCAAGAGCTTGCAAAGAAACACAAATTATTAGACATCAATGAACCATACTACAAATACTTCTCACAGACAGTATTGGAAAACAACATGCACAAAATGCACTATGACAGAGTTATAATCACAGATAAAACAATTTACCACAACAGACTAGACATCACACTCATTGACAAACACAATAAAATCACATACATTATAGACATATCTGTTCCAAACACTCACAATGTACAAAACACATGCACTGAAAAAAATCAGCAAGTACACAGAACTCGCCCAGAAAATAAGGCATCTACGGAGGATGGATAGGGTGCTTATTGTACCTGTCGTTCTCTCCTGTACAGGTATGATACCACACACACTACACAAAAGCCTGGGAACATTACAATTGAGTAGAAATACATACATCACACTACAGAAGGCCACTATATTGAATACATGCCACATTGTTAGGAAATTCCTGAATACAGACACACACACTGACACACTTATTTAATTTTAGTTCTGTTTTGGTTGCTGTGCCTTGACTCTGGTCCGGCATAGTACACAGCCACCGGTGTGAACCGAGTATAACTCACAAAACCCAACATCATAATAATAATAATAATAATAGGTTTATGGCATTACAAAATTTCACTAATAGTATCATATAATACATTTTTGAGGGGAATAACATTTTGGTGTGCCATGTTGAGTCATGTCAAGTCATAGGTGTGCTGCGAGTAGAAAAAGGTTGTGGAACACTGGTCTAGGGCAGTAATATCCAAACTTTTTTGATCAAGTACCCCTAAGACAAAAATAATTATAAGTTGTACCCCCTATAACAGGGGTGGCCAACAGTTTTTGTCCCTGGGCCAAATTGGAAAGATAACTTTTTTCACGGGCAGAACCAGAGGCTGCCCTAGGAAGATTTTGATGTGGTGCGAGATCTCATTGTGGTGTCACCCCATAGAGACTGAATTGTATATAGAGATTACAGATACATTTTTCACATTATCATGCTTTATCAACACTCTATGCCAGGGGGTGTCCAACCCGCGTCCCGCAGGCCACATGCAGCCCAAGGCAAGTTCCAATGCAACCCAATAAATGTGTAAACAAAACCGACAAACATTTTAATTTATTATTATTTATTTATTTAAACAGCATAAACTCAAAAAAGAAGTTTCACAAAGTCGTAAACCTTCATTCATATTTTATTTTTGAGTGGAAAGGAAATATTTTCAAATATTTGGAGATCTGTAAATGAGGAAGGATTACTAAATAAAGCTGGAGTTGTGACTCAAATTTGGGAAAAGGAGGGAAAGGAGAGAAAAGACAAAAGATAAAAAGTAGTGAGAAAGGTTAAATAGATCTTCTGTTATGAAAATATTGACCCTTAATTTTCCAACCTTTCTCACATCTTCATCTTTTGTCCTTTCTTTCCTTTCCCCGCATTTGGGTCTATAACCCACTGAGTCACAATTCCAGCTTTATTTAGTATTTCTTCTACCGTTGCACAATTTGGCTACATTGCACAAAATGTGGCTATGTTTTTTCTTCTTTTGTTTGATGTAAAAATTATTATTTGGTGCTTAGGCTACTTTTTTGGCTACATATTATTTATAAATATATTAGCTGAATAAAAATGCACTTTAAAATGGTGCTTTGTCACTTTTTATTAATTACAGACCCAAATAAAACAAATATTTGTGTTTTTCAAATAAATTTTCATTTGTCTTTTTTAGATAAACAAGGTAATAAATGAATTTATCTATTTCTAAGTAAAAATTGAAAGTGTCTGTAGAAGTAATTTTTTAAAATATCCTTTTTTGTGATAAAGTTTTAATACTTATTATTATAATCTATACATGTTAGTCCTTAAATATACTTGTATATTCAGCCACAAGTAAATATTATATATACTTGTAGCCCAAAACTCCTTGACTTCTTCCAATGTGGCCCACAGAAACAAAAAGGTTGGACAGCCCTGCTCTATGCTGTATTTACAAAATTTGTAATGGTGGGTTAACTCTAAACACACAGTGAGTCAGAATTTTTCATCAAGCTATTTGGACTTCAATGCCTAATATTGAAACATTGATTGCAGTTCACATAGATTCATTAGATGGGCCGGATCTGGCCCGCGGGCCTTATGTTGGCCATGCCTGACCTATAATATAATAAAATTTGCTAAATTTCCACTATAAATACATAATTTCTACTATCTGCAATTTGAATTTTTTCTTTGTATAATTGCAAGTGATCATGAGCCCACTTCTTCAGGAGGACAACTGTAAGATTAGACGGACTGTGGACAGGACACACATACAGTATTTTGAAGAAAAACTTGGCATACCCCACTTTGGAGACTGCTGGTCTAAGGGATTTGCAATTGCAGCTATGAATGAAGGGTCATTCAGAGCTGCAATCTTACCTATTGATGTATGTACACTATCTACCACAAAGTACTTGGACACCCCTGCAAACAGCAACATACAGCAACATGCGGTGTTCTAATACATGTCATGACTGCTGCAGATAAAAATCAAGTGGGAAGGAAAATTGGCATCAGTTGCATGCAAGATGCCACGCAGTTTGGATCTGTCTGATTTCAAAAAAGGTGTAATCATTGGTTATCACAGAAATGGCCGTTCCATACGTGATATATCCAGTGAGCTGAAGTACCCAAAATCGACAGTGGGCTACATGATTCTCAAATGGAAGGTAAGTGGTAATGGTCAGAATAAGCCCCGACCAGGCAGGGTCACAAAACTGGGAGTTAGAGACTGACGGGTGCTCTCCAGAGAAATTCAGAAGAAACACACCCAACCGATGGCCCACATCCATAGGGAGTTTCAAATGGAAGCTGGGACTATTGTTTCGATGAATACCATCTGTAAGGAAGCCATCTGCTCGGTTATCATGGACATGCTTCTGCCCACAAGCCTTTCATCACTAGGACCAACAGCGCTGTTTGGCTAGTTTGGTGCAAAGAACATAAACAGTGGACTGTAGAACAGTAGAAACAAGTTCTCTGGAATGACGAATCCAGGTTCACCCTCTTCCATTTGGATAGCAGATTCTGGGTTTGGCGTCTGCCTGGAGAACGCCTCCTGCCAGAATGCATTGTGCCAAGAGTGAAGCTTAGCAGAGGTGGAGTTATGGTATGGGGGTGTTTTTCCTGGTATGACCTGGGACCCTTGGTCACAATTGACGGTAGGCTCAATGTCAATGCTTACTGCACTATTTTGGATAACCATGTGCTTCCTACGTTGTGGCAGTTTTATGGGTTGGACTCATGTTACTTCCAGGATGATAATGCCAGCTGTCATGTTGCAATGACCACCATTGCTTGGCATAGTGACAATGAGGTTAAACAAATGGATTGGCCTGCTCAGAACCCAGACCTGAACTCTATTGAGCACCTCTGGGACAAGTTGGAGTGTTGACTGAAGGGATGTCCCACTGCCCGAAATTGGTGAAGGAACTCATATGCCTTCTCAAAGCCAAGTGGAAGGAAATATCGCCAGTCGTCATACAAGGACTAGTGGAGAGTATGCCCCTTCTCTCACAAGAAGGGTCACAGCTGTAATCTCTGCCTGTGGAGGTTCCACCAACTATTGACGATGAATAAACTTCGTTTTTCTGTTTTATCACAGGCGTCCAATTACTTTCTGGCAGATAGTGTATGTGTGTATGTATTTATATATGTATGTATGTTCACTTATTCATCAATGCCCATGGGCTGTTGGTGTCATTCAGAGCTAGAATCTTACCCTGTATTTTGTTGACAAAAATGCATTTATGGATTAAGAAATCGCCGTTTTAGAGTATGCCCACGACCCTTAATTTACGCACGAGAGTGCAATCTTTTCACGACAAATCATCAATTACTTAATGTGTTGTCAGTTGACGTCATAATACATGGTCTCGTCTTATGGAAACAACAAGGAAATTAACTCAATCCAATAATATCCATATCTTAACGTGTTTTATTAATTGTTATTAGCACTATATAAGTTTAATACAGTAATTACTTAGATTCTGTAAACATAAAAATCCTAATTGTACATAAAATAAAACTTACCTAGCGACTCTTCCTACGGCGAATGGACGACGAATGAAGTGTTGCCAATCGTTCTTCTTCCACATTTCGAGAAAATTTATTTGAATAATAATTTTAATAATAATAAAATCTAATTTAAATCTTATAAATGTAATTTAAACTAAAACACAAAAAATAAATAGAAAAAACAAAAATTTGTAAAACAATATTACGCAGTTGGCAACAATTATTTTATTTTTTAAAATCGTCTGCTTATCTCGAAGAAAACAAAATGGAAATTTCACAAAATTTCCGAGTTGATAAAATAAAATCGAACATCGAAGAATTAAGCCGCGGTATTTTTATATATATTTATAAATTAAAATATAAACTATTTTTTAAAGGAATAATAATAATAATAAATTTCAGTGGGGCATTTTAACTTCATGGGGCTTAGGCAAATTTGAGTTGGGGGCCCATGCACGAGATTTTGAGATGTTAGTTATTTTTCTACGGGGGGAGGAAATATTTTCTTATAAATATCGCTTTGGGGCTTCTGGCAATTTCCCATTTTTGTCCATAGAATAACGCGCCACTGGTCAATTTCTTTTTGATTTTACGCTGTTAAACCCATTTTAAATTGAATTTATAAATATTGCGCGTGTAAAAGATATGATTTATTGTAATAAACTGTTATAATAATTCACTTGCTAGTCACCATCTTGTGAGAACGCTCAGAAGTAAATTTATTTTTTAACTGATTCCATTCTGTGGTACTAGGATATTTTCTAGCAAGCCCATTATGGGTTCGGCCGGGCCCATAATGGGGCGGCCGAACTCGTTTTTTTTTCCGGGTATCAATATGCCATGTGCAATTTTCTTGTGTGTGTGTAGTTGATAGCAATCTTTTGTCTTCTTGTAATAGAATAATTCATTGCAAGAAGTAAAAAATGTGTTGAATTATAACATAATTCGTAATAAGAATTATGGCAACTTTCAATATAACATAACTGGCAGAACTACCGCAGTCGGACCAGTTATTTGAAAATAAAAAAATTTTAATCATAGAGAAGTGAATAGCTCCCAATCAATTATATTTCTTTCAGATTAAACTATGGTAATCAAAATCTTCTTTCATACAGTATCAAAATTAAATTTAAAAAGTATGTTGTTTAGGGAATAAGTCAACAATTTCAAGAAACTATAATTTATAATACATTAACAAAATTTTTCAATTGACACATTTAAAAAGAAAAAGAACTTTAAAAGTTTATATTTCAAATTTGTGGGGCTGAATATTCCAAAATAACATTTATCAATTCTATATTTAATATGAATAAACAGAAAAATGTTATTTTGCAGGCTGTTCTATTGTCTGAAACTGAACAGTAATTAAAATGCATTAATATTTATCAAGAAATTTTTTGGATCAAATAATGGATCCATGACTTCTTTTCTATCTATCATTCTTTGAAAATGTTGACAGTATTGTTGTTTCTTTCTTTTTTTTATTTCCCGTCTTTATACTGTATACTCCTTACCCAATGTAACAGAATAATCCTAATACAATAAAGTTTATTGATGATGATGATATCCCCTCTTTCTTTCTAGATATTTTGTCATCCTTTTTCCCTTTGTCAATTTTTTTTACTTCAATTTTGCATCTGACATCTTCCTTTTTTATCTTGTCTTTTCTTCTTTATTTCTTAAAAATTTCTGTATCTTATTTTTTAGTCAATGTCCATGTTTCAGATAAATATGTCAAAAGCAAGATAAAATAATTCTTAGATGACATAAAATATTTAACTTTTTATTCTTAAAATCATGATTAATTTAAATCATGTATTAATGCATTTATTTCATATTTTACAATTATCATTACACTATTAAGAATTGCTATGCAAAATTTATGATATGATTTTTCTTGTAAACTTGATGTTTTTGAGAAAGATTTTTTAAAAAAGAATGATATACTCTCTACTGTTGTAATAAATTCATCTTTCTTCATATATTTACAGTTAAACAAAATCTTGAAAAAGAAGTGCAAATTTCTTATACAGCCAGAAGAAATTTGGAAATGCAGGTTGAAAGAGGTATAGTAAAATATTTATTTTTCAATGATTTTTTTTATATTAAAAAACAATATCTATCAAGAACTTAAAAATATTTTAATAATAATATTTATTACTATTACTTTAACAATTTATAATTTAAATTTCAGCTAGAATAAAATTTAATCAAGTATCTGATAATCATACTAAAATGGAAGGTAAATTATAAATACTGCTAAATTTTAATTGTTTTTGTAATATACATTCAAATTTAAAAAAAAAAATTTTTTCTGCAAGTCAAATCTTATTTTGGACATTGTTATTAATATTGTAAATAATTTTCATACATGTAAAATACCTAAATATAAGTCTATTGTCAATTTAAAATTAAATTAAACATTTTTGTTTATCAGAAACTTAGTTTAGTTTTCTACTCTTCATTTTTATTTTTGAAAATAACATTACTTCAATTCTTTAAACAATATTTTATAATACAGTAGAACCTCGAAAACTCGGCTCTCGATAACCCGGCACTCCGGATAACTCGGCCACATCCTGGCAGGGCAAAAAAATCCTTAGTTAATTAATTTTCATTATAGACAGCTTTATAAAAGTATAAAAGCTCTCATAAAGTATTTTTCTGAGGTCTGTCTTATCAGGTAAATTACTGTACATAGTGCATTCATTAATTTTCATTTTCATATAGTAAAGGCTCTATGCCTTCATAAAGGACGTACTTTTCCTTTGTTTAAGGGTATTTGGGCAGTTTATTCTCTGTTATATTCTCAAGTAAACAATACATACAAGTACAGTACAGTATTTTCTGAGGAAACACTCGTACTTATTTTTTTAACCCCATTCCCGATAACCCGGCATTTTCACAAACTCAGCCACCCTTCGGTCCACATTAGGCCGAGTTTTCGAGGTTCTACTGTATTTTAAAACAGCAATTTCATATGTAATTAAATTTTTGAGTAAAGTTCTCATGAGTTTATAGAGAGATAAATTTAGTTTATTCTAAAAATTTATCTTAAACTTGAAATTAATTATTATAGTTACAATATTGGGTCTTATATCAATTATATTAACCAACTGTTGTATGATTTAAGGATAAGTTTAAAACATTAACTGTAGAAAATTTTTTAATTACAGAAACATTTAAAGTTGCAAAATTTAAAGCAGAACAAATGGATAATTTATGTGAAAGGTAAGGCTTGAGAAATAAAAATAATCATTTTCTCATATACTTAAAAACCAACAATATCAAAGTTTATTAGCTTACATCATTTATCACCTTCTCAAGTACTTTTGGGCAACCAAGACCATCATCAGGAGAAAGAACACTGAACTAATTTGACTGCAAATTTAAATTATAATCGGACAAAAATACATAAAAAAATTAGTATATATATATTTAAATTAAAATGAAAGTGTTAATTAAAACAAATGAATGTGAAAGAAGGAGTTAAGAGGAGTGTTCAGTAACAGTAAAGTGTTAAATTAATTAAATTTAGAAATAGTGTGCCATGAGATTGAGGAAAGTTACTAAATAACTTTCAGATTACATGAGAGTACTAAAGTAAATTTGTCTTTTCTTTTCTAATTAGTAATTGGATAAGCAAACAGACTTTCAGCATTTTATTGGATGGCCTGATGATTAAAATTCACCAGGTCTTTATCATACAAAAAAGTTTATCCTTTGTTGAACAAGTATAATTATTATGGTGTGGTAGAGTATATCCTACTCAGTTAATTGTGGTACCTAGTGCTATGCCTGACAGCTGAATGGCTGAGACAGTTAATTAAGGAATGAGTCTACTGATCTGGAGGACTTGGATCAGATCTGGGAAAGCAATTGCAGGAATTGTTTGGGAAACTGCCTTGAATATGTCAGGCCTCATCTCTCACCATTCAGCCAATCCCATTGTGGGCCTGGTCAAGCTCATGATATATATATGGAAAAAAAACCCTCTTACTGCCCACAGGGCAAAAAGAGTAAAAATAAGTTACTGGTTGCAGTGTTTGTGAGGAGTGGCTGATGTCCTTGACAGTAATCATCTTTGAGGAAGGTATACAGATGGTGTCACACTATGACAAATGTCTGAATTTATACAGCAATTATGTTGAAAAATAGTTTATGTATGTGTGCAACTTTTGCATATAATAAATAGTTTTCCTTTTTCCCTGTTTTATTTCATGCCTTTTGGGCAAGAAATAAAACAAAAGGTTATTTCCAAATAGTCCTCATATTTTCATTTAGCAATTCTCTGTAGGGTATATGCTAATACATAAGAAATTACAGTAAGATGTATCCATTTTATGTGATTAGAGATAGACTAAATATACATAAAATCAAAAATGATTTTTTTTATCGATAGTAAAACTTTTTTGTAATAAAAACTATGTAATTTCATATTTTATGGGTGAATAATTTCTAGAAATTTATTTTTTCATATTTTTCTTTAGTGAAAATAACAGAAATCAAGAATTGAGAAGACGAATAGATGAAATTAAGCAAAAACTGAAAGAGGAACAAAACAGCCAAATTGAAAACCTGTAATTATTTCAATTTTCGTAAAGATATTTTGTTTATTAATAAAAACTACATCTATATTTTATATTTTTTGTTTTCAGTTCAAAATTTGAAGAAAAACTTGATAGCCTGACTAAAAAATTTATCAATAGCATTTCATATTATGTAAGTATAAGAATACAAATTTTTTGTTTCCAACAATTCTTAATTCTATAAATATTGGATTTTCTAATGTAGAGTGTTACAATATCGAGGGAACTTTTAGGAACACAAAGATCAATTAATAAACCATCTGTTTTTAATACATATCATATTCTGATAAAACACATTTCTAGTGTATATTAATAATGAGATTTGTCTCGTCATTCTTTTCACAAAACATTTACAATTCAAAGAGAAAGACTTCAAGACTCAAATGAACTAACAGCAAATGTATAAATTATAAAAATCTCATACTTTAATATTTATTGCCAAATGATCTGCTTAATTTTATTGGACTTAGTTGCCTATCTTTAGCCAAATTGCTTTGATTTTGTTCTTTTTATCACTATATCAGTGTATTTCTATTAATAGGACTTATCATACTGGTGTACAAGATTGCAGACTCACAGTTAAACAGATTAAAATTGTTTTATTTTCAATTACCATGTAATTGAAAATAAAACAATTTTATTTGAGATTGCAGACTCACAGTTAAACAGATTAAAATTGTTTTATTTTCAATTACCATGTAATTGAAAATAAAACAATTTTATTTGAGATTGCAGACTCACAGTTAAACAGATTAAAATTGTTTTATTTTCAATTACCATGTAATTGAAAATAAAACAATTTTATTTGAGATTGCAGACTCACAGTTAAACAGTATGATAAGTCCTATTAATAGAAATACACTGATATAGTGATAAAAAGAATAATTTTGATTAAATTAAGGACATAGATGCATATTAATTAAATGCTTTGATTTTGATTAAGAAACCTTAATATAGCCTAATAAAATCTGGCAGATCATTTAGCAATATTAACAGTAAATGTAAATTTTATATTAAAAAAAATCATCTTATTATTTCATCAATATTCATTCTATATCATCATTGCAAATTTTTCTTTGTAATTTCTTTTCAATCATTGCAATTTAATTTTAAGCTCTCAATCTGGAAAATCCTAAGCAAGACTTTTTCGTGTCAATCATGTCACTCAAACCCACAATGAGAAAAAGCAATTGACTTATCTAGGTCAATTTGGACTTATAAAAATTTATAATCTGATCAGACTTGAATCTGGATCCTTTAGAGTGGAAGCTAGTGCTTCTTTGCCTCAGTCATTGTCTGTTAGATGTCAGTTATAGAGCATTTATTTACATTAAGTTTTGTGTTTTCATATTATTAAATTTTTTGGCTGAAATTTTATTATGCAAAACAGAAATGCATACACATTCAAAATAAGCTCTAACTGTAGCTACACATCTGCCTATATCCATATCACTTGTCAAATCAGTCCTGGAAGTTATTTTTGAGATTTATTTATGCAAGTACTTTTAATATGATTTTCATTACATTAATAGCAGTGGTAGATACAAACGGGCTTAAGCTCTCTTCACTGACATTAAAAAAAATTAAAATTTATTAGTTCAAACTTCAAAATGTTTTTAAAAATATGGTTTATTGGACTATCTGCAACACAATTGTCATTCACATGTTAATAAAAGATACTTATTAATTATTCAAATATTTTTAATATGTGACATGGGCCCTTTGGCTCCAACACTGATTAACAGTGTAAATTCAGTTTATTTTTGAGTCTAGTTGAAGTTGCCACCTTTTCACATCATCTAAACTGGAGATTATAATGAAAAAAAAAAAAAACTTGCCATTGTGAAAAACAAAATAAAATATTCTGCAATTGCTTTTTATCTTATGATATTGTATAATATATATATAAAAATAATATAAAAAGAGTTTTTCACTTATTAATTACAAATAAACATACCTGTAGTTAGAGAAAGTTGCCTACCTGAAAAATATATAAAAAGAATTTAAAGTTTATATTTTATTGTTTCCTTTATTTCTTATTTTAGTGTTTTATAAAGATGTTTGGTTGATTTTTAGTTGGCATTATTCTTACAATAAATATTCAAAATTTAAATTCTTAGGGAAATAATAAATTGTCTACTTTATGTGAAAATTTCAGACATTCAAAACTAAAATATAAAAAGGCATGTAATTTTAAAATTTATTTAATGAAGATATAAGTTAATTTTTAGATACTTTGTTCTTTATGAAATTGGTTTATTTTGATGAGATAAGGAAACACAACATGAAGTCAATTTGTTAAAGGACTTCTTTACATGAAGAAAACCCATGCTGCTAGCTGTTGATCATGTGTAAACTCAAAATTACCTACCAGTATACAGTGCATCCAGTAATCATTAGTGGGCCAAAAAGAAATTGAAGAAACAAAACTTTAAAAAAAGTTTCAAAACACTAAAACTAGTACAGTAATATCATAGTGTTATGAATTTTTATGATGTTAACTGAATATTCAATAATAAATATATCTTCTATGCATTCAAAGCTAGAACTATTTAGAATAAGTAAGACAAAACTTTTCACACTTTGTTTCTAGCAGTTTAATCACTAAGTACAAACGTTTTCGGCTGTTTTGAATGGCCTTCTTCAGGTACAATAAGGTCGGTTGGAACGTCGATTAGCAGATATTTAGATGCTTTCACTGTTTACAAAGGTTACTAGTGACATCATTGTTGATAATAAAGTTTAGACGATATCAACATTGTTAATTTTGATATTATTATCTAAGGTGTGCAAATGGTGTGCTATATTATCAAGAATGACATCACTAGTAAGAAGAAACCTTTGTAAGCAGTGACAGCATCTGAATATCTGCTAACCGATGTTCCAACAGACTTTATTGCACCTGAAGAAGGCCATTCAAAATGGCTGAAAATGTTTGTACTCAGTGATTAAACTATTAGAAACAAAGGTTTTGTCTTACTTATAATAAATATATCAAGATATCGTATTTTTCCTTTTTTTTTTTTTGTAATTGAATTACAGTCAAAAGTTTTTGTATTGATTTTAGATAGAAGGAAATTAATTGCATCAATTCTGTGTATTTATTTTATCTAGTTGATATAAAGTTAAAACCAATGGTCTATGTTTTACATGAATGAAATTAATAATTAAAAATATTTATTTGAAGCCTAGTGTTTCTGTGACAAATAGGAACTAAAGGGTAACTAATTATATAAGATAAATGAAGTGTGCAATGCCATAATGTTGTAAATGCCATTTTTTTCTAAATACATTTTATTGAAGAATTGAATTCTAAATGCAGTGTTTTCTGCCACAAAAGAATATTGTGGCAATATTGGCAGTGTAAGTAGCTATATTTTGAATATGAATTTATGTGAAAATATAACGTTTAAAGTGCCAGAAACAAGCTTTTGACATTTTACATGCCAAAAGTGTGACTTTTGGCATGCAAAATGTTGTGGCTTATATTTACATCATTTTGATATTCCATAGAATTTGTAACCCAGTGAGTTTTTACCATTTTATTCTAAAATTGTAAAATTCATTCAGTAGAAAAAATGTTTTTTACCTCTCCTGAAGTTTCTTTTTTGGCATTTACAACATTATGACATTGCACGCTTCAAATAATGTCAAAATAAATGTACAGTACAGTACATTTTTCTCACTGATCATAAAACAATCACAAAAAATGTTTGTTTATATTAATATTACTTTGAAATAATCAAACATTATCCCAGGTAATTTACTATTAAATATTGCACTTTTATCTACTTGCTCAAGTCTATTGTTAGTCAAAACTTTTGGCAATTCATGTCAAAATTAAGTTAGTTAAGTTCAATCTCTAGAACTATTTACCAAACAGATCTACCAATAAGTTTCTTAATCAATAATTCAAATATTTGGTTAAGTTTTAAACTAACTGTTTTAAATTGTGTAATACAATTCCAAAGCTGGAGAAATCTTAATTAAACCAAAATTGCACAGCCAAATTTTCAAAACCAAACTGGCACATAAATTGGAACTTTATAAATCTGGTAAGAGGTAAAGGATGGATGTCCTTCCTGAGATATCCTAGACAAATCATTTATGGAAAATTCCTTATCCAAACACAAACTTTGGTCCCCAACTCCAGAACAGGAGGCCGATATCTTTACTACCTTGGCTATCTCACTATCTGTTCAGAGAATTACAATGCTAAATTCATCCTTGTGATTCTCTCCAAATTAAACATCACAAACATATATTTCTATGTTTTTTGTCAACTCCAGCACATAGATTATGCACCCATGTCTTAAGTTTTAAGCATTGAATCATGTTTTTTTCACAAACTTCTACACAAACATTACAAAAACAATCGCTTTTCTTTTTTTTGGCTTTTCTTTAATTTTCATTGTTTGTATCTTTCAACTGATCATTTCTTTTTATTTTCTGTTCTTGCCATTGAGCCTCTAAAGTGTATAAAGATAAGGAAGGGCTATCTTTCATGAATTTATAGAATTGTTTATTCTCTGCAATTCTTTTTGTGTTAAAACAATGTGGTAATGTATATTTTTCTGCCAATTGAAGTGCCAGTTTAGGTCAGTTATAGGAAGCCCAAAGAAGCATGATTCCAAAGAACATGATTAATTAACTAACTCTTTCTTCACATTTTCAGTCAGATTTTTAGACCTTCCAAATTTTGATTTTCTTATTTAATCCTCAAAGATGACTTTGTAGAGTTGGTTTAGCAATTTCATATTGTCTGTGTGCTTCATTAAACCCAATTTCACTACTACATAATTTGCCTAATGCCTCATCCATATCTTATTGTTTCTGACTATTATAAATTCATTTTGACACATTTATGGTCTATAAAAACAAAAACATCAAAATCAAAACAATATTATATGTTATTGAATGCATTGTCTTACTTCTATTAACACTTGGCAGGTAAAAGTTAATAACAGAGAGAATAATTCCTTAAATCGTACCAGTACAATTTGGGAATCTTATGCGGCTATGACTTAAGATGCAACGAATTACATTCAAATAAACATAAGAAAACACTGAATAAAGCTATTACTATTTTGTTTCAAGTAAACAACTATTTAGATACTACAGAATGAACACTTAAAAAGAAACACAAATTTATCAATAATTTACTTGCTACAAAGCTACCAAATATATATAGAAAGTTTTAAGAAAACAAGAGTAAACTTATTTGTTGTGAAAATTTGTTAGTACGCCATCAATGACAGATACTACGTTAACCAATATGATTGACTGAAGTGTACATCTTATTGCTACTAGAACCACTATTGCTGCAGTATTAATTTCAAAATTTAAAAGGTACGATTTAGGCAGTGATACAACTTGAACAACCTTACCCTAATTTCAGCCAATTATTATTGTACTCATATTATATGCAGTATGATATGAGTACAATAATAGCTGTATACTAATATATACATATAATACAATATATTATATGTATATATTTTGCTATTATTAGAGAGATTCATCTTTAGAACAAGAAATAGTAGAAACAGAAAAGAAACTTGAACAGAATTTGAAAAGAGGTAAGAACAGAACTTACTTTCGATATTAATAAATTTATTTTTAATTTAAAATATACCTGATAATTGTTTTATATTATTCCTACAGTTGAAAATGTTGAAAAAAAAATTTCTGATGTTGTCAGTGAGATTGAAAATTTGAATGAGGAAACAATATCTGATGAAGGGGTGCCATTTGAACAAAGAAATATAATATGGTTTGAATATATTTGTATTATAATTGAACATTGTCTATTGTAATGTAATATCAATACACCATTCATGTGTATTTGCCTGTGTTTTCATACTTTATGGTCACTCTGTATAATGTATAAGGTTAAATTATTTATATTAATATGTAGAAATATTGATATCTTAAATCTGATATTAAAGTCAAACAATTGCTGGATCATATTGGGCTATATTACTTAGCATTTAATTAATAGCAGTAGTAATATAACCTGATTAATCCAGCAATTGTTGGGCTTTAATTGATATTAATACATCAAGGAATACATTTTGTTCCCATAATATTTTAAGAATGTATAAAGTGACACATTTTTGTTCATTTCTGCAATAATACCTGTAAGTCAAAATATTCCTTTAAGTGGAGTAAATAACTAGATAAAACAACTAACTTTTAGAATTGCTGTACAAAAAGTATCATTTCATTCATTTTATATACCATAGAACCAGTGGCGTGCCGTGACATTTGATAATAGGGAAACTGTGTTTCTGTAAGAAGCCGACATCCAAGGGCAATCAGTCAATTGCGCGTCAGTGATGGTCTAGGGTTTGTATTGTTTATTTGATAAGCCAGTAAAAAACATAGACTTCTCTAAATGCATTTTTAATATTGCAATTACATTCTGAATTGCTAGCCGTGATATAAGAGCTACAATTAAAAATAAAATAATAAAAACTTACTTGGTGAAATAAAATGTGTGGTTAATGTACCGATACACACCTGGTACAAAATATTTTTCAATTGTACGAATATACTTTTAAAGAAAATTATAATTAAATATAGCTTTGTAAAGAAATGTACATAAAAATATATTATTCTTTACTTTTTAAATCTTAAAACAATGCACTTAGTCAAATAGCTCCCTACGAGTGGCTAATGGATGGAATCGAAGACGGTTGCAAAGTGCGAATAAACGCGGACTGCCAAATCCCCAGTGCGCTGATACCGGTCAATATCAAATACCTCTTTTGTCGCATCACTAGTATATCTCAAAGGATGCGACAAGGCTGTTGTAGATTTTAAATGTTTCTCACCATAGCTGTAAAAATCTAAATTTGTTAAACTTAATAGTCATTTGTTTTCTAACTAATTCTTTTTACGACCAGGTGTCCACGGAATTTTCCAAAATTTACAACTTTTCAATTTACAACTGTCATTGAATTGTAAAAATTTCTCTCTATTACATTAATAATATGAAGAAATCAGTCTCCACTGTACTTGGCTAGAGATGGTTCGGTTAAGCTTTTGTTTAAGTAAAATTTTGGCTCTTTCATCAGGGTTTTGTTTATGTTATGTCCCCAATTCCCTAATCGCTTAATTATTTAACTACTTCTTAAGTAGAAATAGATCGAAACCAGTTACTTTGTACTCGAATATTTGTAGTCTTGGAAAAAAAGTGGAAAGACAAATTTTTATGACAACGGATACGTAAATCGTAAAATTAAAGAAAATAAATTCTAGAGCTTTTTCTGTAACTGGTGCATCTCTCTCATTCATTAAATTTAGTTGTAAATGACACTGTCAAAGTAATAGTTAATTTTTTAACAATTATANTTTATAAAAAAAATTGCAATTTATATAAATTTTTTAAAGTGCACAAATTTCTTTCAAATGACCGTTAAAAGTTTATTTTAGCAAATGAATCTTTAATGTCACTGCCTATAGAACAATCTGCCAATAAAAACAAAATGCGTTTAACAAGTCAAACATCACACAATAAAACATTTATATGAGACTGGGACTAAACTTTTTTTCTCAGTCATGGCTAATGCATTTCTTTCATTATTTTAATGTGTGCCATTTATTTTAGTGAAAAAAATGTATTATTGAAAATGATTACTGGTGGGTTTGAGATCCCATAGACAACCTTTGCTTACTTGGACCACATGCCCATTGGTGGACATCAAACACAGCAACACATACAGTACAAATCTTCAAATCAGCTATGATTCTCAATTATAACAAAGAAAAATCTATTGTTCTTTCAGATCAGATGGCTGGATTTTTGCTTTATGTTCAAAGAACTAAAATAGTGGAATTGTTTTCCATCCAATAACAGCTACAGTTGTCACCAATGCAATGTATTTTTATAACAATGAGCAATAAAAGAACACAGATCACAAAATTTAAGGAAGAAATTGTCAAAAGGTTAGTCCTTGAAAATATGTAGTAAGAAGAAATGTCTGTAGAACAAATGAAAGTATCTTCTAAATCAAAGCAAATTTATTTATTGAAGGAAGCTGAAGGGCAAAAGAAATGAAGAGATACAATGCCTGTTGAAGAGGCATTGTATCTCTTCATATGGTAATGCTTCTTCATATGGTAATGGAAGCATGGCAATTTCAGTTGGCATTATCATAATGCCAACTATGAAAATGCCATGCTTCCAACATGAAATTGCCATGCTTCACCAGGAAACGTCAAAAAGTGAACACAGTGTGTAAAATGTGTAATATTCCAATCTCTCATGTTCAAATAAAACACGAAATTAAATAAATATATTCAGTTTCCAGCAAGTTTACTTGTCTTATTACATCAAAGCCTTTTCATTCGATACATATTTTTTGTATTTGAACAAATATATTCTTTTCAATGACCTAATGCCACTGCTTTATGCCAGCACTCAATTACTGATAAGTAAAACACATTCCATATTTTACAGCATATAAGACACAATTTTTGTCTAAAAACAAGGCCCAAAAAACATCCTACATCTTAAATGTGAAGTATAGGCTAATGAATTTCCCAAATGACCTTCAATAGGCTACAGATAACCTCTACCTAGTCCAATCTTGAATAAAAATGTTAGTTTAATTAAACATATTATTTCCTATAGCTATGCAATTTTTGCTTGTATTTATGTCGAATATTTTAACAGTAAATTTTAACTGTAAGTTTCTTTTCTTAAACTCCTCTTTTTTCCTGATAAATGTAAGTGTGGTCATCCTAATTTTATTTTTAAACCAGAATGGAGCAAAAAAAAAAATATATCAGGGCCAAGTGCCAAAGGCATGGGATAGCTTAAATACATTTTCCCCAAAGTATGCTGTACCAAAATAGCAGCATGTCTTATATGCTGTAAAATACAATGAATTGTATCCACTGGAAAATTTACAATATTAAAGCCAACAATAAAAATGTCCATTGATAGTCATTTGACATTCAACATGTTAACTCCATGTTCAGTTATTTCTATGTTTAGAAAGAGTAAATTAATAAACAGTTTAATTATTAGGAACTTGTGATCTAAATAATGATGTGCAACTGGCTAAGCAGTTGCTCTTACCATTTAATTGGTGTTCCTTTATCTGAATACAAATAATTTCCTTCAACACTTCCAATATAAAACTTAATTACGTACAAATATTTTTAAATATAATTATTGCCTATTAAAATATATCATTTTTAAAATGTTTTGTTACAGTCTGCTCTGCTGTCTTCATTTATTTTTTTCATTATTTGAGAGAAATTTTTTAATCTTTGTGAATATTTTTGCAAAATACAATAGAGAAGTCTATAGAAAGATACTATAAATAAAACAAATGTAATTTCATTAAGAGAGGATCAAAAGAAAAACAACAGAAAGCACTGCAATGGAAGTAATTATTTAATGTATAGTCACCAATCATGTGTAGTTTTCAAATGCATTTGATGTTTTCTTAAGATAATTTGAGCAATACTAGCTACTGTACATCAGCTAGTATATAATAAAAACAAATGTGAAATTGAAGTTTAAAATCATCAGTTAAATTTCAAAAAATCATTACAGTTTACAGTTTTTATAAAAATTTATTCTTTACCTGAAATATTTACAATTTTCAAAATACTTAAGTTAATATGATATATCAATTTTTTTAATTAAAACTCTCATAATAAATTATTTTAAATTTATATATAAATTACATATATATGTATATACTGTATGTAATAAATTTTTACAACAATGTAATAAGATAGTGAACATTTATATATCACAATACCATTTATTAATTGTAGGGTGAATACTTATCACCATTTATAAGAAATAATCATTTCTTTTATTATCCAGAAATTAATCAGATAAAAAATGATACTGCTTAACCATAATAAAATAAAAGAATTGATTCCTTTAAATTCTAATTGAAATGCAAAAAACAGCCATAACATTTGACCACATAGCCATAAAAGAAATAAATGTAAACCTTTCTTTACAGACATATTTAAAAAGGGCAAGACTATTGGCATCAAACAGAAATACCATAAAAAATACTGAGATGTGCAAACTTTATTTAAAGAAACAAATACGACTGTCTGTATAAAAATACAAAATGATAAATCCTTTTCACTGTTAAAACTAATCGATATACCTATTAATAAAACCATTTGAGGTAGGAATGTAAGAAAGGATAGCCATTTATGATTTTCGTCATCTAACAAATATAAAAGATAAAAAAATGGAGAAAAATTATGTCTTATATCTTTACGAGTCAAATGATAAAGAAAAGCAGCATCAATGTACTCCATTTTGTACATTTTAAAAGCGAGAAAAGTAGGCAATATAAATGTAATAGCAGCAGCACTTGCAAATGAAAAATGCTTTTTGTTTGGTACCAAATATAAAATCTTTTTCATATTGGATTTATTTGATTTTTCACTCAATCTTAAATATATAGAGAGAGCATATATAATTGGGTAGAGTTTGAAATGCACAGAAAATCCGTATACTAAGCCAGCATAGAATATTTTGTTATTATGTAAAAGTTGTATTGTTAAAAGTATGAGACAAGACATAATAGATTCAGCATTTCCACGAGTTGATACCACTGCAGGCAATGGATTATAAAGCCACAGCAAAGCACAGCAGAGTGATGATAAGTCATTCAATCTTTTTTTTGAAATTTTGTAGATCAGATAACCAGTATTAACATCAAAAACTGAAAACAATATTTTCCCCCATAATTGATGTAAGTAAATATTAGGTGTTAATAAATAGGCTAGAAATGGTGTATAACGATAAGTGTGTCTTTTAAATGGAGAACTTCCATTTACAACAAATGATGCACCATCGGTGAAAACATGATAATCAACATCTGTAAATTTAACTTCA